GCCTTTAATCCCAGCACTCAGGAGACAGAGATCTCTGTAATTGCAAAGTGAATTCCAGGACAGATCAAAGTTACACAGAGAAACTCTGTCTCAAAAAATGAAAAAATAGAAGAAAGAGAATAATAAAAAGGTCATGTAAAAATGGAGATAATATGGATACTGTACGGTATTATATTGTCTTTGTATTGTTTAATTGCTGAGGAAATAACAACAACTGTTAAAACAAATGCTGCTGAATCAATCCAATTTATACATTTTAAAAATGCTTTGACTCCAAAATTTAAGTTCAAGGACAAGGACTGGGGAAAAGGATTTGTAATGTGTATGGTTTTTCTGCCTGCCGCCGCCCGGTCTTGTCCTGCCATTGCGCCAGCCCCAAATAACACACAGAGACTCTGTATTTGATACAATGTTATTGGCCAGGAACTAGTTTCTTATTGGCTAGCTCTGCCTTAGTTATTAACCCATTTGTGTTAATCTATGTATGTCCACGAGTTCTTCTTACCGGGAGTCTGCGGCCGCATACTGTTCTCTCCAGACTCTCCATCTTGACTCCTCCTTACTATTTCCTTGTCTCCTTGTCTCCTAGTCCCTCCTATCTTCCTTTCCTATTGGCCAACGGTACTTTATTTATTAACCAGTATGAGAAACATATACAGAATGACATCTCCCATCAAGGATTTCTATTTTTGTTTCCATAGAAAATAAAAAGCTGTGGATTCCTTCCAGACTGATGTGGCTTGAGCAAGCCAGACCCCCTGAAACAGCGTTCCTGGTGATCCAACATTCAAAACAGCTTGAACAAAGCAGCCTTGCAGACTACAGCCAGGATATCTGTGTCTTCTTAGGATTCCCCATAACAGCACCCCCATCAGCAGGAAGTAGTTTGGAAAGAACGACACCCAAATTCCCAAATATTGTTTATAAATGTTTGTTTTCATTTAAATGGGTTTGGTTATAAATGGTTAATGATCACAGCCAATTCTTTTTAAAGGTAAAAAGGGGATTGTGATATAGATATGAATACTTTGTTTTGGAATGGATTTTCATTTATTGATACAATTTAAGGTCAATTTTTGTGATATGTATATTTCTCCTCTTGTTGAAATATTGTGTTTGCATAGTTTGTTTAGAAATGTAATGTATAATGTAGGACAGATTATAGATAGTTATCTGTAATAGTCAAAACTTATAGTGTTAGTTAGGTTTTCTAGATATATAGAGATGTATTTAAGATGAATAGGCATTCTTCAAACCTTTCAAAGACCTACAGAATATGGCATTAAAAATGGTTTATGGTTTTTCTTGACAGTGAGACATAAATGCTCATGGCAACACCACCTGCACCAGAAAGGAAGATGGACATCGAAGAAACACGGTTATGGAGTTTGCTTTCAATATGGCAAGACTAGCCATTTGGACAAGATACTGCTCTTGTCTGGACTGTTTGACTTTATGCTGCATAAACTGGACATGCAGGGCCCACAGAAAAGTGATTGCTGATTTAAGATGGACATTGCTACAGAGTTCCTGCTTCATGGAAGAATCTGCCAGAAAGCCTGCAGGACACAAAGAAAAGTGACTGACAAACTGCCAATACAAGAAGACAGTTTAAAGTTTCCTGCTTTGCTGAAGAAGTCTGCTAGACACACTATGGCCTATGGGCTGAAGATGGAAGATTGCAGAAGAACTTCTGGTGACTGACCAGGCAAGATGTCTCTGTCATTTCTAGAGTTTATATACTATCCTTCTGTGGTCTTTGAAGGAGTTGAAGACAGATAGTTATGGTTATAGTTTTCCTTAGTTAAGCTTAAAGATAAGTTACATATAGGACTTTAGACTCACAAATATAGGATAGATGATAGAATAGTTTCTTTTAATCTTGCTAAATGTTAATGGACTAAATATTATTAACTGTGATTCTTATTTGATACTGTTGTGTGATATATTTTGCTATGTTAAGGTTAAAACCCTTCTTTTTATTTAGACAGAAAAGAGGAGATGATGGGAGATGCCATTATGCATATATGTTTCTAATACTGGTAATGAATAAAGCACTGTTGGCCAATAGAAAAGGAAGATAGGAGGGACTAGGAGACAAGGAGGAAAGAGGAAGTAGGAAGGAGGAGTCAAGATGGAGAGTCTGGGGAAAGCAGATTGCTGGCCAGCTCCCCGGTAAGAGAAGACCATGTGGAAATACTAGATTAACAGAAATGGGTTAATAATAAGACAGAGCTAGCCGATAAGAGACTAGTAACAGGCCAACAGAATTATATCAAATACAGAGTCTCAGTGAGTTAATTGGGGCTGGCATGGTGGTGGGACAAGACCGGCGGCGGGAGGAAAAACCTTACTCCTTTCATAGAAGGTCTTAAAAGGATAGAAGAAAGGGGCTATGAAATTTGCCTCCTCCACTAAGGAAAGCCACTGAGTCAGGCATGTGTCAGGAGTGTCCCTAAATGGAGGCCCAGGGAGGCCATTGCATGAAGCAGTGAAGGTGAAGCCTGAATTGCCTTGGAGACCCCAAGATGTTGCAGATGCCAGAGTTGTGGAAAACCTGTCAAGGAGAGCTGCTAACAGGAATGGAACCAGCCCAAGAGAAAGAAGTGTGTTGCAGTCAACAAAGCTGACAGGAGTTGGGGTCTGAAGAACTTTGACATCAGAGCTGGAGATGCAGAGTTTGCCCAGCTGGTTTTCCGTCTTGCTTTGGTCCGGCATTTCCTCACTAAACTCTTTCCCATCTTTTGAAATGGTGATGTATCTCTTGTGCCATTGTATGTTGGAAGTAAGTGATCTGCTTTTTGATTTTGATTTTACAGGGGATTATTACTAAGATTTTACATCAATCTCAGAAGAGACTTTGAACTTTAGACTTTTAAACAAGTTTGAGACTGTGATATGAGACTATGGGGACTTTTGAAGTTCAACTGAATGCATTTTTTTTTTCTCATTATACTATGGCTACAAGCCCTTGGGGGACAGGAAATGGAATGTAGTGGTTTGAAAGAAGATGCCCCCCTCCCAAAGGCACTGTTAGGAGGAGTAGCCTTGTTAGAGTAGGTGTGGTCTTGTTGGAGGAAGTGTGTCACTGTGGAGGAGGGTTTTGGGGTCTCTCATGTGCTCAAGCCATGGCCAGTGAGACAATGCTTACCATCGCCTGCAAGTCAAGATTATTAACTTTCAGCTCCTGCTTCAGCACCGCGTCTGCCTGCCCACCACCACATCCCATCAATGTTGACAATGGACTAAACCTCTGAAAATGTAAGCCACCCAATTAAATGCTTCCCTTTGAAAGAGTTGTCATGCTCATGGTGTCCTTTCACAGCAATACAAACCTTAACTAAGACACTCGAGATTGTGTAGATGAGAAAAATATCCCTGAGCTGCATGCTATAAATCCACAGACTCCATGTACTTTGGTCTGTGTGTGGACTTGACCCAGTATGCTGTTCTATGATGTGCAGAACTCGTATGTTTAAACACAGAGTGGTATAGCATTACTCAGTTTTACTGAGTCCTTCTTTCCTGTGAGTTTGTTTGCTTGTTGCCTGTGAGGATGTTTCATGCAGACTTCTGGACGCTTTAGTGACTTTAGTAGAGCAGGTAAGTGCCTGAGGTGATCCTGAGAGTACTGTAATGTCCCCACCGCAGCTCAAGAAGAGCACAGGCGGATGGCTTGACTTTGAGCTGCTGTTAAGAAAAGTCATCCAGTATTGAAAAAGAGGGAAAGATGCCATGCGAGCAGTGTGCAGCAGGCTTCCTCACATGCCACCTATTTCCAGGGAGAAACTTTCATGTCTTTGTTGGCTACATGTGCATGTGCGTGCATACATTCGTGTGTGTGTGTGTGTGTGTGTGTGTGTGCATGCAGTTTGTTTGATGACATGTTCTGAGATGGAGTCTCACTTTGCAGCTCAAGCTAGTCTCAAACTCTAGCTAGTCCTCCTGCCTCAGGCCCTCAAATGCTGGGATTTTAGGTCTGGGCAATGACACCCAGCCAGTATGTTAACTGTTTGTAGTAAGGATCCCCTGAGTCTATCCTCAGACCCCATGACGTATTAAAGTAAGGCACAGATCTCAGGGAAGCAGTCATACTCATGCTATGACTAGAGACAATGCAAGTATATAGGTTGTAGTTAGCGAAAGTATGAGAAGCACAGACCAGAGTCTGTATGGGAAATCAGGCGTGGGCTTCTGTTGTTTTCTTCCATAGATATTGCTTACTTGTCCCCAAACAATCATGTGTGACAATTTATCTGTGGTACTGCCAGCCAGGGAAATCCAGAGCTTTGAAGTCCAGAATTGTTTTCTCGTCACGTTGACTGACTCTGTCATCATGAGCTATTGGAATCACTGATATGTTTCCATTTTGTATTCATATGAGAATGATACTTTTACATTAAAAAAGAAGAACTTGCTTTGATTGTTTTCTATCATTATGCATGCAGCTGGTGAACCTGTGTGTTCAGGGCTGTATTGTTTGGTGCAGGGACTCTGGCCCCATCTTAATTAATCATAGATTAATGTCGCCATGTTCTGAGTCACTGGAGTTTGAGATTTCAACATGAACTTTGGGCAGGGGTAGGAGGAGACATACTTTGTACTTTAGTAGGAATAGGAGAAGAACTGATATGCAGAGGTCCATGGCACGCTATCATTCTTTCCCAACTTCCCTATTTTCTGATTCCAACTCTTTGTCCTCCATCTCTCCTATAATTAAGGCAGAACTTACCCTATTTTGATTCAGGAATAAATTCCTTGACGAATGGTTCCTTGACTCTTTTTAAAGTATCTACCTCTTAGATATGGTTTGCCAGATGTTAAGTCTGGCCCTGCCTCTACGTAGCCCCTGCCCCCATGAAGAACCATAAAGGGCTCTGACAACAGAAACAGACTCATATTTCTCATTCTGTACCCTTTTCTTTCTTCTCTTCCCAAAGCTAAAAGCACAGTAAGAACCCTCTCCATTTACTTTGATGAAGATTCTTCCTCCAACCTAGTAGAACAAATCATCATACTTTATTAATTCGTGTAAATAAAACATTTTTCCAGAGAACAGCATTGTTAACATTAATATTGGGGAAAAATGATTCATGTCATCACATTTCTAACTCACAATTTCTCAAAAATGTTTTTCTTTGGGCTATTCAAATGTATCTATTGATATGATTTTTGAAGAATTCCCTCACCCCCTTGGAAGTGATCTAATATAAACAATATATTACATTTTATAGTTAAATTAAAAATAGACAAAGTTGTAATCATTCAATTTAGTTCTTAAAAATTTACATATAATAAAATTATCTGTGTTCTTGTAGAACTTGCAACTTCATCAAAATTCAGATAGCTACCCCAATATATTCTTAAGCCTTTGTAAAGGAGGTTTTTAAAGATCATATCTTCTAGTATTTCTCAAATCCTCTTTTAAAAATTAATTCATTTTAAATCACCATCTTTAGACTGTTTTATGACATAAAAAGCTTGTTGGTTGTTTCTAGCTCCCTTACACAAAGTTTTCCTTGATGGATGCAGGCAAGAATGATTTTAGTGGAATACGAGTATGGCTTACCAGTCCTGTGGAAGCTCAGGCTCTTAAAAATGTAATAGAGACCAGGGGTTCAGATTTCAAGTCCAATATCAGATGCACAGCAAGTCTGTGGGCAGCCTAGACTACATGAAACCCAGTCTCAAACTCCCCACCACTCTGAACAAAAGAGATTTAAGAAAGAATCAGTACTTTGATTCTCCAAGAACAGTAAAAGTTGGATGGGCACACTGGATTGAAACAAATGAGAAAACAGGATCATTATGTCTTTGCTGATTGACCCCACGCCCACCTTCAGTGGAGTCTTCGGCATGCCAGGCAAGCACTCCAACCTGGCCCTATAGCCCTTGCTCAACCAACCTCTTGTATTTTTTTTTTTTTTTTTAAGATTTTAAAGATTTTTTTTAAAGATTTTTTTTCTAGATGTCTAGTTCTCTCAATACTCAATATGCATTATAATGGCATGTGGATTTCTTCCTTGGCTGTGTCTGTCATGCAACCAATGGTCCAAACCCTTAGTAGGTCAAGATCATGGTCAGCACCTGAAGTATGCCAGCTACAAACCTCTTTGCTGTCCTGATAGAGGCTGAACAATGCAGACTTCCTATGACAGTTTTATATTCAGGAGTCAGAATTTACTTTTATATACCACTTTTGAAGTAAAGTTTAATGTTTCCCACTAACAACCTAGAAAATATTAATCTAAAAATATTAGCAAAGCATTTTCAGAGAACCTCTTAGATAGATTTAAATCTACTTATTTCTTCATCAGAACTTTATTGAGTTCAAAAGTTAAGCATGGTGTGTTCTATTCAATCTGAAGATAGCAAGACCCCATTTATTTCCATATTTTGAGAGGATTACCCAGCTCAAGGTCCGGAATGAATCTCTTTTGAAGAACTGTCCATGTTTAGTATTCTTCATGAAATGGGTATTCAGGATGGTTACTCCACCTGCCAAGAGGAAGACAGTTTACTCTAATGGTGGTACAGCTGTGTTACCAACATCCTTTGATAAGGACATGTTCTTCCCCCTTTGTTTGAAGGCATTTATTTGCCTTTTGTTTCCACTGTACTTCTTCCTCATCTCTTCTTAAGCCAGTACCTTTTCATAACGTGAGCACACATACAGTAGGCAAGGAAAGGTTGGTTGTAGCTACATCATTTCACTCAGAACAAAACAAGGTGAGAGTCTTGCCTGCCTATCCTTGCATTCTAAGTGTTGCTTTTAATAATGATGATGATGAATCCATCTTATACTGTTTGTAACAATGAGCATGATGGTGATGATGGTGATGATGGTGATTATGAAGACTCTACCTCTTCAATAACAAAGGTGAGAATGTCCAAAACAGTCAGGAGTGCATGTATCTCTGTCACGAAACATATCCAAGATTTAGCACTCTGCAACTACCATGAAAATATAAAACAAACAGGGCTCTTCAATATCAGAAGTCAACAAAATAGTATCCAGAGAAAAGTCATAGACCAGGACCTCTCAGAGACATATTTTTCTTTTTTTTTTAATGGAGCTTAATCTTTGTATCACTTTGTTGATTTTCTAATTATTTTCTGCAAGAATGAGTCATGTTCCCCCTAGTTTTGTTAAGACTGGTATTAAGTATTTCATATGTAAATCAAATAATGTTGTTAATAAAAGAAAATCAATAGAAGGTAAATTCAGCCCATATATAATGATACTTTTAAGTAGAAATAACATATCCCTAAGAACGATTGATTAGCTTATAGCTTAGTTTTTGGCAAGCAGTTATGTGTATTTGTGTCTTCTCATATGTTTTGGGGCTGGGTGGTATCTTTATATGCCAAGCAGTGTTCTCCCTGGAAAAATTCACATTAAGGAGCTGTTTTATTACAGTAATTCAGAAGATCAATACCACTCCATCCAGAAAATGTTCTGACTCACAAAACATAGTGAGATCAATTGTGTTCCAACACCAGGCATTATCTTAATGGGTGCTGTCTAACTCCTTGCTTAAAGAGAAGACCAAATAAAGAAAGTGACTGCCAACACGATCTGAGAAATCAGAAAGAGTAATGGAAGATGATGAAGAACAAAAACCAATACATGCACACATATACACATTTGACTGTGTAGAAGCGACACCAGTTTTAGTTTAAAAGACCTTCAATGTTTAGGGAATACAGTGCTACTTTGGTGTCTTGACCGAGCTTGACATCATCTTTACATGGTATGAAAAAGTCTCATAGAAAAGGTGTTGGTAGTTAAAGCTTACATCTCTAAATCATTTTAAAAGGATGTATTTTGTTATTTTTTGTGTGTATGGGTGTTTGGCTTCACGTACGTCCATGTACCACATGTATGCCTAGTATCTGGTAAAGCCAGAAGAGGGTACCATAGTCCTGAGAGCTGGAGTCACAGATGGTTGTGAGCTACCATGTGGATACTGGAAACTGAACCCAGGTCCTCTGGAAGAGCAACCAGTACTCTTAGCTACTGAGCCATCTCTCCAGCCCTATTTATTTATGAATTTATTTTTGGAGACAGGGTCTTCTTTGTGTAGCCCTGGCTGGCCTGGAACTCATTAGGTAGACCTAGCTAGCCTTGATCTCATAGAGATCCACCTGCTTCTGCCTCCTGAGGGCTGGGATTTGAGGTATGAACCACCACACCCAGTTTATTTATTTCATTTTATGTATGTGTACATGTGGGTGTGAATTTGTGTGTACCATATACACGTAGGCGCCTTTGCATGCCAGGAGAGGGCTTGGGATCCCTGGGAACTGGAGTTATTGGGGATTGTGAGCTGCCTGGTGTGGGAGAACTGAACCCAGGCCCTCAAAAGAGCAGCGAGTGCTCTTAACCGCGGAGCCAACTTTCCAGCCCCAAAGCCCCAAATCTTACAGGCAAGAAAGTATTTGACTAAAACTCTAGGTTCCGCTTCACAACCTGATATTCCTCAGAATTTCTAAAAAGTAAATTTGCTCCAATTTGGGCATTTCTTTGACTTTTGCTTAGAAGCAAACAGTGTTACTTCAGAATTTGTGTTGTTGCTGTGGCAGGTGTAGCATGGGGGGGTTAATTCTCCCTGACTCCATGTCTTGCCTTCACCTAATGTCAGACATTTGCCCAGGTGTGTCTGCTGTTCAGAACACACTGTTCATCCTTCATCCCGGCGTTTCTATGGGCACAGGGGAGGGTGCGCAGGCACCTCATTGGTTAACACGTGACAAAGCACTCTCTGAGTAGTGATCCCAGGACACTTACATGTGCATCTCCACAAAGCGGACATTTTTATTCAGGGCTTCGATGTCTTTCATTTCTTCTTCAGTGAGAGAGAAGTCAAAGATCTGAAATAATAGAAACAGAAGACAGGACATTCGTGAAGATGGGTAGAGCGTGGAGCCAGGGTGTGGACATAGCGAGAGAGCCTCAGGTGGTGCTCTCTGTGACAGCTAGCGCCTCTGCAATTGTCCAAGAGCAGGAGAAAGGAGGATGGGGGAGGGCAGCTTGACCTTTTGCTCTGACCTTAGTCTTGAGTCTTGGAAGCCATTCTGCTTAGGACCACTCAGACTTACTGAACAGTATACATTTAGAACATTTAATGTTCTGTATGTGAAGGGTCCTTTTTTTTCACATAAAACATTGGATGGCTTTTATTCTAGATTATTATCTTCTCACACTGAAAAATATTTTCTGATCTTTAATATTATTTTATATTTATTTAATATTTAATTTATTTAATATTATTTTCTGATCTGTTAATATTAATGATGATGTTTTAAGACAGGTTCTTGCTTTGCAGCTCAAGCTGGTCAAATGTCTTTTTAAAAAGCCAGCATGATTCTGCTTCCTCTAGGATTCAGTTCATGTAGGTAACTGAAGCCTATGTTTTGCTGTGAATCAGATAAATCCATGTATTTTTGTAAATTTTGGTTTTTAACTTCAAGATAAACTTCCAGATTCTCCCTTTCTATTTTGTTTCTAATCATTTTCCTTGTTCAGTGTGGTCTTCTTTTAATTTCATGACATAAATTATCTTATGTGATTTCACACTACGAAATTAAATTAACCGCCAGGTAATCATGCTTGTATTTTCAGACCCTGTAAGGTGAAGGTAGATGGATTAAGTGTTCAAAGCCATCCTTAACTACACAGAAAGCATGAGGCCAGCATGACGTGACAAATCAAACTCTTGCCATTGTTTTAAAAACCCGCATGTCACAGAGTTTCCCCATCAGAGTAAACATTCTAAGAAGAGATTGTGAACTGGATGAAATGTGTCTGAAATCTCTGACCCCAGAAGTCCCTTGTGACCCCAAGGAAAGCTGTCCCATGTAGTCTGCCAGGGTGAATTCTCAGTTTGAATGTATCTAAGATAATAGGGAGGTGGTCTGAGAGCAGCTTTCCCCTCACGAGGTTGGCAGTAAACAGGAGGAGAGCACTGGGAAAGTGAATCTATGATGGCTTTAAGTTCACAAGATTGGAAGTCTGTCTGTCGGTGGGAGTTACACAGTCAGAGGAGCATTTGATGTGCAGGACACACGGAAGCAGGGAGTATATGAGATTGATGATATGAAGTGTGATGTAGGACATCACACTCTCCAAGAACATTCTCCCGGAGCGACAGTAGACAACGCCGTCTTCCCACATTTCCAAAGGTAATTCTCTTACCTGGAAGTTTTCTTTCATCCTTTGGGGGTTGAAGCTTTTAGGAATGACGACTACCCCTCGCTGGATGTTGAAGCGCAACCCAATTTGAGCTGCCGTCTTATTGTACCTTTTCCCCAGAGAGTTTAAAAGTTTGTCCTTTAACAAGGATGGAGAAGATACATTCACCCTTGGAAAAAAAAAAAATAAAATATATGACATCTTTAGATAAAAAGCTAGAGTTCATTAGTTCATCAGTCACTCCACTGTTGTCCCATTCACTTGGTCACTCTCAAGTGACTCAAGTCATCTCTGGTCAATTTCTCTGAGTGTAAAGAATTATGGAATGAAGAGTTGCTTTCAGTGTGAGACGACCAAGAGAGGCAGTTAGGTGGGATGATACAGAGGACAAATAATATACACCTATGCATATTATATACAATCATATATGTTATATATAATACATATAGCACACACACACACACCAAGCTTTCTCTCTTCATGTGTGTGGATGTGGGATGAAGAGTCTTAATGAGAGTTTTGTCTGAAGTAGACACATTGGGAAAGGCAAAAAACAAAACAAAACAAAAAAATAAAACAACAACAAAAAAAAAAGAACAACAACAACAAAGACCAGAAAACAAAAACCTGGAGTAGAAGAAAGTAGCTCAACTTATGCTATCAGGGTACACATTTTTCTAAAGCTCCTTGGATTCCTTCAAACGTTTGCCACTGTGTACTGAATTCAACAACTTAAAAGCTTTCAGAACACAGCCACAGAAACCCTACTATACTTCAACATTTACTGAGTTTCTTCCTATCAGAAAGCAACAGAAAATGCCATACATTTAATGTAACCAACAGGTAACCTTCAGTGAGGAAGGAATCATGAGTTTTCATTTGTTTATGGGGATCTGGACTTGGAAAGGCCATTTTTTGAAGACCCCACAGCCAGAGTCCTTCCCCTTAGCAAATTCCCTCTGGTTTTGTGCCTTATTCACGTGGGAGGAGATACTTCTTGAAGAGGAGACAGCATTACTTACCACATTGGGTTCCGACAGGTCCCCAGAGGGCTATATGCCACAATCACAATGTCATGCTGCTGGCAAAATTTCAAGAGTTTTGGCTGGGTAAAATATGGGTGGCACTCCACCTATGTAGTTCCGTTAGAGAGAAGAGAGCAAAATTAAGGCCTATAAATAAAATGCAGTTTTACATAGCTTTCAAAAGTTATTTAGCAGCTGGTGACATGGCTCGGTGGGCAAAGGCCCTTGTCACCAACTCTTCTGACCCGAGTTCAATCCCCGGGATCCTCATGGTGGAAGGAGAGAACCAATTCCTGCAAGTTGTCCTCTGACCTCCACACACTGTGTGGCACGCATGCACGTGCTAATAAAACACGCAACTGAGAAAATGTAAAACCACAAATGTAAACCGCTATCAAGAAGGGCTGAACCAATGTGTATCCATCGGTTTAGCGGAACATTGTAAGACATAAGGAACACAAGTTTGATAGCCTTTTAAAGAGGTTTGTTCTCTTTTTTTATATTAGGTGTGAGTGTTTTGCCAGCATGAATGTGAGGTTAGCACAGACGTGCAGTGCCCACAGAAGCCAGAAGACAGTGTTGGACACCCTGGAACTAGAGGGACAGATGGCTGTGGGTGCTGGGAGCTAAACCTGGGCCCTCTGCAAGAGCAACGGTTGCTCATAATTACTGAGCCATCCATCCAGCACCAAGTCTGATATGAATGTGTTTACACCTTTACATCAAGCTTTCTCTAACAGTGAGTGGAGCATTTCCCCAAGTTTAATAGTCCTGGGAGTGGTTTTCTGTGAATTTCCATCTGTTTATTTTGCTCATTTTCTCAGGGTTTTTTTTTTTTTTTTTTTCCTCTCTCTCTCATCACTTACTCTCTGTCATCATTTTTTAATTAGTCTTTTAATTCATAAATGTATGGATTCTTTTATTTTACCTTAAATATATCATTGCACATTTTTGCTTGCCTTTTGTTTGTAGCAGTTTCTCCCTTCAGTTTTAGGGACTTAGCCCAGGACCTTGTGACGCTAAATGAGCATGCCGCCACTTGGCTAAACTGATTAAGTTTTCTTAATGACTTTTTCTAGGCTTCCTTTTCTATCCATTGTTCCAGAAAAGTAAATTCTTCTATTGTATATACAAATGATTTCTGTCTTCTAACCTTGGAGAGTGCTGTAAGGCAAAGCCCACTTGCTTCTAGACTTTTGGAAGATTTGTGCCTTTGCCATTAGTTTAGTGTTGCTTCGTTTTTAGAGCAGGTTTTTTTTTTTTTATTATACCTTTGCCAGCCTCTAAGTATTTGTTTTCTTCTATTAATTTGCATCTTGGTTCACATGCCACCCTTTATAAATTATCTAATTTTTGAGAGAGGGTCTTGGTATTTGCTGTTCTCCAACTCCTGGCCTGAAGGGATCTTCCTACCTTAGCTTCCTGAGCCTTGTACATTATTATACATTATTTTAAATGCTTTATATTATGTTTTGATATGGCAAGTCTCGTTTCCTTTCCATTACTTTTCTTCGTCAGAAAACCATTTTGCTTACATTTGCTTGGATTTGAGTTTTCAAAATGACTTAGACTTTCCTGTTTGTTTTGTTTTGTTTTGTTTCTTTGAGGCACGCTCTTGCTCTGTAGCCTGGGCTGGTCTCAAACTCACCTTCAGGAGCCTCCCCAGAGGTGCCTGCTATGTCTGACTGTTTCTCTCTCTCTCTCTCTCTCTATTTAAATTTGAAACAAATTTTTTTTACATGTCAATCCCAGTCCCCTCTCCCTCTCCTCCTCCCCTGCCTTCACTGACCCCCTAACCCATCCCCTTTCTGCTCCCCCAGGGAGGGTGAGGCCTCCCATGGGGATCTTCAAAGTCTGTCATATCACTTGGTGCAGGGCCCTCCCCCATGTGTCTAGGCTGAGAGAGTATCCCTCTATGTGGGATGGGCTCCCAAACTCCATTCCTATAGTAGGGATAAATGTTGATCCACTGCCAGAGGTCCCTTAGACTGCCCGGGCCTCCTAACTGAGACCCATGTTCAGGGAGTCTGGGTCGGTCCTATGCTGGTTTCCCAGCTATCAGTCTGAGGTCCATGCGCTCCCCCTTGTTCAGGTCAGCTGTTTCTGTAGGTTTCTTCAGCCTTGTCTTGACCCCTTTGCTCATCACTCCTGCCTCTCTACAACTGGATTCCAGGAGTTCGGCTGTGTTTAGCTGTGGGTGTCTGCTTCTGCTTCCATCAGCTACTGGATGAGGACTCTAAGATGGCATATAAGGTAGTTATCAATGTCATTATCGGGGAAGGGAATTTAAGGTGGCCTCTCCATTATTGCTTAGATTGTTAGTTGGGTTCATCCTTGTAGATCTCTGGACATTTCCCTAGTGCCAGATTTCTCTTCAAACCTATAGTGGCTCCCTCTATTATGGTACCTCTTTTCTTGCTCTCCTCTATTCTTCCCCTGACTCTTCCTACTCCCTCATGTCCTCCTCTCCTCTCCTCTTTTCTGCTTCTCTTTCTCCCCCCATCCCCCCCACCCCATCCCCACCCCCCGCTCCCAATTTGCTCAGGAAATATCTTGCCCCTTTCCCCTTCTCTGGGGGACCATGTATGTTTGAGACAGGGTGTTAATCTGCACTGTCAAGGCTAGCCTTGAACTGATATGCAGCTTGGATTGTCGCCTAACTTGCTGAATAACCCAGGCTGGCCTTTGTATTCATGATCCTCCTGCTTTAGCTCCCAAATGCTTTCTTCTCTTAAGAGATGTAAACCGACAGAAGTGAAAAGCCTGTCCCAGAGTCCTAGAGTATGCTTTCCGTGGAACACGAGGAAGACTCCCTGCTGCAAAGTCCAAGGGCCTTGCTATCGCTTAAAAATTCTCCTGGGTGCCCCTCCCCACACAGCGGAAGCTGCTCTCCTGTACCTGGTTGCTGACTGGTTTGTACTTGAGTCCTGGCTTGTTCAAGATGAGCTCCAGCTGCCTGCGGTTAAAATTAGATACCCCCAGGGATTTCACCAAGCCAGCATCTTTGCAAGCCTCCAGTGCCTGTAGGGTAAATGCCAGCCGTCAATGAAGAGGCTCTCAGGAAGCATGAAGAATGTGTATGGTGCACCTCCACCACCCCCAAAGAGATACATATTATAAATACCAAACCAAAGAAAACACATTTTGATGCGTTCTGATATATGTACACGCTAGTAACACAATTTACCCTCTACATTTCTAAACATCATCCGTGGAGTGCTGATTAATGTTTAACATCCAGCTATCCAGGACAGGAAAAACAACCCAATTTATGGCACTTTTCAGTGCCTGTGATGTCATTTTATCATCACCAGCCTGTATTCAAGCTAGCTCAGTGACATCCCTGTCCATGGAACTACAAAGACACTTGCAAAATCAGATTTTGCAAGCCAGTGTGAGCTGGTTTCAGCACACCTTTGAAAAGCCATATATGTATATAATGATATAAATTGATATATATATATATATATGTATGATATATATATAGGTAGTTTTGTTCTCCATTTTCCTTTTCTTAGAGCACACTTGTTATTCACTGTTTTGTATATAGTTTTGTATCAAGCCTAAATCTTTTCTTTACTTAAAAGGGGAATTGTAGTGAGATAGTTACTTTGTCTCCTTCTGTGGCACTGACCACGCCCATTGGGGGTGGGGCCAGGGGCGGAAGGGACCTGTGGAAGAAGGTCTGAGGAGGAGTCGGGGAATGCTCTCTTGGTGGCGGACATGGAGAGGAGAGCATCTGGTGGAACTTGGTGATGTTCATCTGTCTAGGTGGTAAGTTATTTCTCCCTGAATAAACATCTATTCGGCCTATTTGTTTATCCTGATCCTTATTTAACCGCAATACACACACACACACACACACACACACACACACACACACACACACACGCACACACGCACATACACACACACACAAAACACATACATGTACACATATGTATATATGTTCCTCATCATATCTACTCAATTTGTTCTTTGGGGCATTATGGATATAGTTTTTTCTTCATTTCAGTAAATATTTTTTACTAGGATTTTATTGAGTCTTTAGATGAGTTTGGAGAAAACATCGTAACATTGAATATTAAGAGGTGTGGTATATTATTCCACTCATTTAGATCTTTGATTTCTTTTAGTTATACACTATAGTTTTTAATGTTGAAACTTATGCATGTTTTATCAAACTTCCATCTAAATATTTAATATTGCTTTTTCAAAGATTCAGTTTCTAATTGTATGAGGCTAGCGTATGGATTGCATGGGGTGGGTTTTGTTCCCTTTTTGTCTTATGAATTATTTATATGTGTTTCTCTGTTCCTAAATATTTGATGTTCTCTCAGACATCTTTTAGTTTTTGGTTTTAGACTTCATTCCAGCTTCATAAGAGCACACAGCTTGCATAACTAGAATACTTAAAAGTAATGAGATGTTTTGTGGATGAGAAAAACAGATCTTTGTGTCACAGTTTACACAGGGACTAGAAAAGTGGCGGTGTGTGTGTGTGTGTGTGTGTGTGTGTGTGTGTATAAGATTTATTTGTACCAGGCTTTTTTTGTGGGGGCAGGCCACCAACCAGCTCCCCAGTCATGACATGGGGATTTAATATTAGTTATGAATGCTTGGCCTAGCTTAGGCTTATTTCTGGCCAGCCCTTTTAACTTAACCTGTCTCTCTTTACTTACATTTTGCCTTGCTGGGAGGGGAGGGGTTTACTTTCCCTTCCATCTGCATATATTCCTTTCATTGCTTCTCCTGGCTGCTGGCTGGAGGCTGCCTGCCTTCTTCTCCCTCTTTTTCTCCCTCCTTCTCTTCTCCTTTCTCCTCACTCGAGCCTAGATTTCTCCTCCTGCTTGTCCTCTCTGCCTTCTAGCTTCTCTCCTGCCTGGCTATAGGGCATTCAGCTTTTTATTAGACCAATCAGGTGTCTTAGGCAGGCAAGGTGAAACAGATACAACACATCTTTACAGAATTAAACAAATGCAGCATAAACAAATGTAACACACCTTTACACAGTTAAAGTAATATTCCACAGCACAAACAAATGTAACATATTTTTGTCCAGTTAAAAATAATATTCCACAACACTTACTCATTTTTACTTATGATTATGGGTGTTTTGCTTGCATACGTGTCTGAGCATTGCATGTGTACAGTGTCCACAGAGGCTCGAAGAGAGACTCAGCTCTTCTAGAATTGGAGTTATAGGCAGTTGTTAGGTGCCATATGGGTGCTGGGATCCAAACCTGGGTCCTTATCAAGAGAACAAGCGCTCTTAGCCAACTCTCTAGTTCCTCTGCTGTATTTTGGTGAAGTGTTCTGTGAGTTTAAATTATGTCAAAACATTGATTGTACATGAATCTCATTAATATTACAGATTTTGTGTATAGTTATTACCTTAATTAGTACGAGGCTTTGGAATCTTTAATCATAAGCATGGATTGCTCACTTTCTCTTTTCTGTTGTCTTAGGGTCGGCTTCATGACTAAACTTATTTTTAGAAATTGAAATAGCCACCCAAATTTCTTTGGATTAAAGCTAACTTGATATATTTTTTTCTATAGTTTTTTTTTCCTATTGGCATGCTTTAAAATTGTGTTTCTCACACACACACACACACACACACACACACACACACACACACTGTAATGGGACTTGAATTTTTGCATTTTGGCAAACTGCCTCTTCCTCGGGATGCTTACACTACACATACTCTGCAGTTATTGGTAGCACTAAGATGTCCAGGCGGGCATGTATTTTCTATTATTTTCATCTGTTCATTTCCCTTCTTTTCCCCTGCCTTCTTTTCAATTGATTACCTTTCATTGTTCTAGGTTATTCCCTTTACTGGTGTATTCATTATATTCTGGAAGGTTTAATTCCTCCCCTCCCCCCACCTAAGGATTTCTGCTTGATGTTCTGAGATCTCATTATAACCATTGTGGGAAATGTGAAAGAAACGTGTTGCCTTTTTTATTAGAGGGTTAAATGAGGCAAGGGGAACACCATTTTTAAAGACAACTGTAAAAATTCCATTTACCAAAAATCTCTCCCCAGGTCGGCGTTTTCCTGAAATTGGAATATATGTCCAAGGTTACAATCTGGGTAAGGTTGCATTTTGCTTATCGATTTCTCACTAATTTTCAAGTCGCCTAAAAATGTGAGGCTGGGCCTGACCACATCCATCCAGTGCGGCAGAGGACCCTTTGAGCTGGGGATAAAGCTGGTGTGATGGCTTACTTGGTTTAGCACCAACACACCCCTCTGCAGAAGGAACGCTATCTGCATTGCTGAAATATCTTGGATTATGTGGCCATTTCCTTGAGACCTCAGACCTATCCCCAGCACCACACAGGCCCTGGCTTCCTTATTCCTCTTTTGTGTGCTGAGACCTGTTCAGTGTCTCTCTTTCTCAAATACTGCCTTTATCTACTTCCTCTTAGCTGGGAGTTTTAATTTTATTCCTTCTGTTGTTTACCTTTGCCTTTCATGATGAAGTGTGTTCTTTTGTTGTTGTTTTGTTTTGTTTTTTTCCCCTCTTCTTCATTCTGATTCTTAAATTATACACCCTTTCTAATTCTTGGATGTTTCTAATATGTATTCCCATGTGTCTTACTATGCCTTAAAATATTTCCTTGTTAGTATTTTTGCTTGTTTGCTTAAGTGTTATTCATGAGGCTGATATTTCTTTTTAATGCCTTTTAATGCAAAGCTCGGTTCTCCGTTCTGTTGGGATATATCACTGAGATAAGTTTTCTTGTGAAGCAAGCATTCTGCTACTTTGGGTCATGAGCTTGTTTTCTTTTCCAGGCAGCCCCTTAGAAAGGGGTACCAGGCCCCCACGCTCATTACAACTAAGCCAGTGTATGCCTTTTGGATATAGGCTCTGGGTATCAAAAAACCCTCCAAACAGCTGTGTGGTTCAGACCCTCAACTGTTAACCCAGAAGGAAGTAGATGGAGACCCTTACTCATCCTCAGTTTCTTGGCAGGTGGATGTGGGGAATCTGGAGGTAATTTGTTGTTTCAGGATAAGATTTCTGCACTAACCCATCCCTAGCCCAGCACAGTGCATTCCTTCCCAGAATGCACTGACAATTTTCTTTGCTTCCTCTACTTTCCCACTCCTGTACTTCCGGGGAAAGAGCCAGTAGCTGGCCCAGATATGGAACCAAAATCTTTAGCTTTACGTAGTCTATTTTGAGTTCATTTCTTTTAGATATCACACTAATTTTTAAAACTAAAATTTTAACTAGTGAGTTATCTCATTTATGTTTTAAAGTGTTATTTTAGTAGAATACATTGTCTATTTCTCTTTCCACTTCTGGAAATTACTGTTTTTAATAAGAAAAATTAAGAATTTTTCTCCATCAAGGGTGGCTGGCATCACTCAGTGGATAAAGGTGTTTGCTGCTAAGTCTGATGACCCGAGTACAATCTCTAGGGCCCACATGGTCCCACAAGATATGCCTTGATCTCCATGGCATATGTGTGCAAGCATACACACACACTCACACACACTCACACCTCATATACACCACACACCACACATACACACACACACACACAGACACACCACACCATACCAGACACCACATACACATCACACACACACACCACACACGCCACACACATGCACACCACACACACCACACAAACTACATATATCACATACCACACACACACACACACACACACACACACAGCACCTACAGTTGGAGGGTTACATCTGTGTGTGTGGCTAGACATTATGTCACTTATTATTGAATGTCAAGGCGTTAACCATCAGGGCTTATGCAGTAGCGGTAGGAGTCCTAAGTTAAAATGTAGGCCTTTTACAACAGCTGCCCACATGAACTCACCTCCCAGGTGGCACACAGATCTGATTTGTGGTATAACCATTGGCCATCTTCATCTTTAGGATATATTTCCTTTCCAGGCTGTAAAATGCAAAACACGTATTTATGTCTAAGAATTAAAAATAAATATTTTAAGAAATTGTCAGTGGGGATACAGATGGTTCAGTGGTTAAGAGCAGGGGCTGCTCTTCTAGAGGTCCTGAGTTCAATTCTCGGAAACCACATGGTGGCTCAAAACTATCTGAATGAGATCTGGTGCCCTCTTCTGGCATGCAGGTAGAACACTGTATATATAATAAATAAATCAATCTTAAAAAAGAAGTTTGTCAGCATACCACTATACTGTGACCCTGAAATCAAGCTTCCCAATTTATATACTTTCCTAATAAATATTGTATGTACATATAATATTGTTACATCACATAGAGCATATTATATTTACACAAAATTATATACAATATTATACATTAGGATATCTTATTAATAGTGTATGATATAAATTATACAATCATAGAATATAGCATTTTATAACTGCGGAGGTCCCTGTGAGTGTCACAGCAAGCAGAGAAATTACCCAGGTGAGATAAGAACAAGACAGTTCAGCCTGACTTAGTTAGCTAGTGCTGGGTGAAACTTCTTGGAGTCTGACACCAGTTGGTTTATTTTAGCCATACTTAATCCCAGAACAGTTTTTGAAAAAAAAAAATCCTGGTGACAATTAACTCAGGCTCAAGTTGCAATAAACTTAAGAAATGTTTTCCTTGAAACTCTTTACAAAGTACATCTGGCTTCTACCATAAATATAGGTTCTGTTGACTCAGAAGCCATGCTCAATATTTAGGGGGAAAGGGTCTGGGATAAACAAAACATAAATTCTGGGGTGACGCCCAGCTCCATGGATAGCAGAGGATCACCAGGTTGTAAATTACATCTTTCCCAGCATTCCAGGAGGACGACAGGTAAACATCTCCTTCCTTTGAAGAGATGAGTCTGCCTGTTTACTTTTTCCTGGATTCTTCAATGCCCTTTACATATAATTAATAAAATATAGTTAACAAAATCTCTATTTTGTGGTTCTTTCCACATAGTCTCATTTGACCAGTGTGTACTTGGCACATCACTTCCCTTATCTTGTCTGTTTTGAGATGGGAAAATTTCCCAGTCTTCGACAATAGCACTACTGAGAAAAAAACGATGGCTGAGTCTGGGGACTTTCAGGGTCAGCGTTTTGGCAGCCTCTGCCCTGTCGGGAGTTCAAGGCAACAGCATTCTTACTCTCTTAATAAACTCTAATCACGATGAAGGGTGAGGGGAAATTCTTCTCTGTTCAAGACCTGTGTATACCGCACCAGCCAACATGTTGACATGGAGGGAGGAAGATGTCATGGAGAGCTACCGGCAGGCAGTGGCTGCTAAGGGAGGAAGAACCGTTTTTTATTTGCTTGCTTTTTTAGTGATGAGATCCCAATCCTAAGTGGTCATCCCAAAACTCATGCAAATAAGGGCAGTGATAATTGGATTTCTTTATTGTACAGGTTTTGGCTGTCCTGGGTTTTTTGTTTTTCCACATGAGTATTGCTTTTTTTGAGGTCTGCCAAGAAGTATGCTGGGATTTTGATGGGGGTTGCATTGAATCTGTAGCTTGCTTTTGCTAAGATTGCCATTTTTACTATGTTAATCCTACCTTTCCAACAGCATGGGAGATCTTTCAAATTTTTGATATCCTCTTTAATTTAGTTCTTCAGAGACTTACCATTCTCATCATACAGTTCATTCATTTGTTTGGTTAGAGTTATCCCAAGATATTTTATGTTGTTTGTGGCTATTGTAAAGGGTGATATTTCTCTGATTTCTTTCTCTGCCAATGTATCATCTGTACATAGGAGGGCTAATTATATATATATATATATATATATATATGTACATATATATATACGTACATATATATATACATATATCTTTTAGTTAACCTTGTATTCTGTCACATTGCTGGATTTTGTCAAAGGCTTTTCAGCATCTAATGAGATGATCATGTGCTTTTTTTTTTTAATTTCAGTTTGTTTATATGGGGGATTACACTGACAGATTTTTATAGGTTGAATCATCCCTGCATCTCTGGGATGAAGCCTACTTGACCACGGTGAACGATTTTTCTGATGTGTTCTTGGATTCAGTTTGCTAATATTTTATTGAGTATTTTTGCATTAATGTTCATGAGGGAGATTGGTCTGTAATTATCTATCTTAGTTGTGTCCTTGTGTGGTTTGGGTATCAGGGTAATTGTAGACTTTAAAAAGAGTTTGGCAATGTTCCATCTGTTTCTATTGTGTGGAATAATTTGAGTAGTATTGGTATTAAATATTCTTTGAATTTATGGTAGAATTATGCACTGAAACCATCTGGCCCTGGACTTTTTTGGTTGGGAGACATTTGATGCCTGTTTCTATCTCCTATAGTCTTAGGTCTATTTAAGTTGTCTATCTGGTCTTGATTTAATTTTGGTATGTGGTACTTATCTAGAAAAGTGTCCATTTCCTTTAAATTTTCCAATTTTGTGTAGTGCAGGTTTTTGAAGAAGTAACTGATGATTCTCTGGATTTCCTCAGTGTCTGTTGTTATGTACCTCTTTTCATTTCGGATTGTGTTAACTTGGATATTCCCTCTCTCTCCCTCTCTCTCTCTCTCTCTCTCTCTCTCTCTAAATTATTTTGGATTAAGGTTTGTCTATCTTGCTGCTTTCTTGAAAAAGCAACTCTTTGTCTCATTGATTCTTTGTATTGTTTTCTTTGTTTCTATTTTATTGATTTCAGCCTTCAGTTTGAATATTTTATAGTTATCTGTTCCTCCTGCGTGAATCTCCTAGTCTCCTCCTCCTTTTCTTCTTCTCCTCCTCCTTCTATTATTACTACGCCTCCTCCTTCCCCTCCCTTTCGTTTTGTTGTATCTGTTGTAGTTTGTTTTTGTTACTGAGTGTGTTGTCAGTTTTAGAGAAGGTTCCATGTGGTGCTGAGAAGAAGGTATATTCCTTTGTGTTTGGGTGGAATGTCCTATAGATGCCCATTTGAGTTATTGCATCTGTTAGTTCCTTTACTTCTCTGTTAAGTTTCTGTCTGGCAGACCTGTCCAGTGGTGAGAGTGGGGTGTTGAAGTCTCCCACTATTAGTGTGTGGGACTTGATGTGTGATTTAAACTTTAGTAATGTTTCTTTTACAAAGAGGGTGCCCTTGTATCTCAGCATAGATGTTTAAAATTGAGACTTCATCTTGATCGATTTTTCCTGTGACCAAAATGAAATGCCCTTTTTCATCTCTTTTGATTGCTTTTAGTTTGAAACTTACTTTGTTAAATATTAGGATAGCTACACCAGCTTGCTTCTTTGGTCCATTTGATTGGAGAATCTTTTCCCAACTCTTTACTCTGATGTAATGTCTGTCTTTGAAGTTGAGGTATGTTTCTTTATGGATCAGAAGAATGGATTCTGTCTTTATATCCATTCTGATAGTCTGTGTCTTTTTATAGGCAAATTGAGTCCATTGATATTAAGGGATATTAATGACCAGTGGTTGCTAGTTCTTGTTATTTTTGTTTTTGTTGTTGTTGGTGGTATTGTGTGTGTGTTTCTTTTCATAGGGATTTTCTGGTGTGGGATTATCTATTGCTTGTGTTTTTGTGGGTGTTGTTAACTTCCTTGGGTTGGAGTTTTCCTTCTAGTACTTTCTGTATGGCTGGATTTGTAGACAGGTATTGTTTAAATCTGGCTTTGTCATGAAATATCTTGTTTTCTCTCTCTATGGGCATTAAAAACTTTGGTGGATATAGTCGTCTGGGCTGCCATCTGTGGTTTCTTAGTGTCTGTATGACACCTGTCCAGGACCTTCTGGCTAGCTCTGTCTTAATTGTTAACTTATTTCTATTAATCTAAGCATTTCCATGTGGTCTTATCTTAACAGAGAAGGATTTGGACCAAAAAAATAAAATAAAATAAAATAAAACAACTACTTTCCCCATTTTTGAACCTCAAGACTCGGGAGAATTACTAGGGCAAAAATAACATGGTTGCCATTTTAGCAACCTTCTGTGGCGTCCTATAAGGAAAAGGAATGTATTCACTTGCTGGTAGGCTTTTAACATGACTGCCAAAATGCAGTTTTGCTGAAGATGAATCTTTCTGCTTTTAGATACAATGCAAGAAGGCAGGAGGTCATAGGTGAACCTTGTAGCAAAGCCAATACCACCCAAGTCAGGAAGGTTAAAAATCAGTTAAATTGGTATTGGGCATCACTAAATGGCAGTGGCTGACTCAACTCCTCCCTCCTTTCCATTCGGGGTTCTCAAGAATAGTTGCAGAATGTAGAGGACTCTATGTAAAAACGCAAAAGTTTAAAATGAAAGGATCTAAAAATGTTTTAGGGTATATAACCAAGTAACTTAAGGCGAACAAATAAACACAAATTATCAAACTTCCTTCTCTCTCATTATGCTACTATTCCTTGTCTTAATATTAATCAATACAGTTTTAATATGCTATTAATCCAACTCTGACAGAGTACAAAACACCAAATTTTGTGTCTAACACCATGTTTTAGAGTTCCATACTGCCTGGACTATGAGGAAACAACCAGCTCCTCCAGGATGTGGCAGCACCCAGATTTCTCAGGTCCCCCAAAGATGGCCGATGCCTCCAGGTCAACAGGAAGTAGTCTTGAGGACTGGGTGTCCTCGTTCCCTAACCTGCCACCCATAACCCCTCACCTTTCTAATAAAAACAAAGGTGGTAATGTAAGGACTCAGGCATTACGCTGGCCAGCCCCTGGTCATCTGGCAGACTGCACTCAGGCAGTGCCCTGGTCAGCCCAGGGTTCCATGGCTATGCAGTCTGCACGCAGGTGCAAAGGACCCCTTTAAAAGGAAAACTCCACCCACTTCTGTCCTCTCTCCTTCCCACTGTTCCTCTGAAGGGGAGGACAGGACTTTCCTGTCTCCTCTCTCTCTCTCTCTTTCTCTTCCTCTCTCTCTCTCTGATTGTGTGTGTGTGTGTGTATGTGTGTGTATGTGTGTATGTGTATGTATGTGTGTGTATGTATGTGTGTATGTGTGTGTGTGTATGTGTGTGTATGTGTGTGTATGTGTGTGTATGTATGTGTGTGTATGTGTGTGTATGTATGTGTATGTATGTGTGTGTATGTATGTATGTGTATGTGTGTGTGTATGTGTGTGTGTATGTATGTATGTGTGTGTATGTGTGTGTGTATGTGTGTGTGTGTATGTGTGTGTATGTGTGTGTATGTGTGTGTATGTGTGTGTATGTCTGTGTATGTGTGTGTATGTATGTGTGTGTATGTATGTATGTGTATGTGTGTATGTATGTGTGTGTTTTTATGTGTGTGTGTATGTGTGTGTATGTATGTGTGTATGTATGTGTGTGTGTATGTGTGTGTATGTATGTGTGTATGTATGTGTGTGTGTATGTGTGTGTATGTGTGTGTTTGTGTGTGTTTATGTGTGTGTATGTGTGTATGTGTGTGTATGTGTGTGTATGTGTGTGTGTATATATGTATGTGTGTGTATGTGTGTGTGTGTATGTGTATGTATGTATGTGTGTGTATGTGTGTGTGTGTATGTGTGTGTGTATGTGTGTGTGTGTATATGTGTGTGTGTATGTGTGTGTGTGTGTCCTCCCTTTTTCTCTTCTTTTCCCCCTCCCCCCCTTTCTAATAAACCTTCTCACTTAAGCTCTGTCTACCTGGCATGTTTGTCCCTCACTCGTCATGGAATCTGCCATGGTCCCCCTCACCCAAAATTATAACAACCTCTTTTAACAAAACGATTCTTTGGAAAGAAATCCCTGAACCCGTGGACCACATTGCATGATGACTCTGCACGCACGAGTCCCATTGTGCCCTCCTGATTACCCCAAGAACAGAAAGTTAGAGATTTACTAACTGGACACACCTGGCCCAGTGATGAACTCCAGACCCAGAGTCTGAGGTCGTTAAGGGCAAGCGTGCAGTTAATAAGAGCAGAGAAATCAGAACGGTGTAGTGTAATGGAAAAAGAGGGGGTGGTGAGGGGGAGAGGCCCATGGAGGAAGACTAAGACACAAAGGGACACGGCTAGGGAGCAACTTAGTGCAAATGCCACATCGCACCCCTTGTGGAATGAAAATTGCTCTGAAATTGTGGGAGAGTGTCTGGTCCCCGGAAGTCCTTTTCCCAAGGTCGGGCATTTGGGTAAGGGTCACCATTACCTCAGGGGCTCAAGGAAAGTTTCTGCTTGCTAAAAGCCGTTCTCCTCATCTCTGGCAGGAGGAAGTTGTAGCCCTTCCATTGATAGAAGAGGGCTCCTAACGGAATTATTGAACCTTTGAGGACAGTAGACATGTAGGCACTGAGCTTGCTTTCAATTTTGCCTATGGCTAAACTGTTGAGTATAAAAGGTAAAGCCTTTTTTTTTTTCCCCCAATACAGTCACCCACCCCAATTTACTCTCCTGGTCAGTCATGTAACTCCTCCCCACACACCCCTGTGTCTCCCCCGACTTCTCCCGACCTACTCCACATCTCTTCTTTGGGACCTGAACTCAGCTGTAACAACCCAGCTGGAAACTTGGGTCCACTGAGTAATACCAAACAATGACATCTTGAAATTGTCAGCCAAATGGATGGAACTAGAAAACAAAAATAAAAACCAAAAAAAAAAAAAAAAACCTCCTGAGTAAGGTAACCCAGACCCAGAAAGACCAACGTGGTATGTGTGTAATCACTCATAGGTAGATATTAGATGTAAAGCAAAAGATGACCAAGCTACAATCCACAACCTCAGAGAAGCCAGGAAAAAAGGGGGACCGGAAAACAGTTAAGGTCCCCTGGGTGAACTGGGAGGGGATAGAAGGAGGGGATGGGGGATGGGGACGGACATGGGAGATGAAGAAGACCGAGCTGGGGGAGGGATTGGAGGGGAGGTAATGAAGGAGATATCCTGATTGAGGGAGCCATCATGGGGTTAGGGAGAAACCGGATGCTAGGGACATTCCCAGGAATCCACAAGGCTGACCCCTGCTAAGACTCCTACAGTAGTGGAGAGGGTGTCTGAATGCGCCTTCCCCTTTAATCAGATTAGGGACTACCCTAATTGTCATCCTGGAACCTTCACCCATAACTGTCAGGAGCTGCGGCAGTGACCCACAGCCAAGCACTGGCTTGAGCTCCTGAAGTTCAGGTGGAGAGAGGGAGGAGGGATCCTATGAACAAGGTGTGTTGGCACCATGATGGGGAAACCCACAGAGACAGCTGAGCCCATGGACTATGGACTGGCAGCTGGGGAAATGCACGGGACAGAGCTAGGCCCTCTGCATGTGGGTGACAATTATGTGACTTGATCTTTGGAGGTGGGAGGGGGTTGGCAGTGCCACCAGGACCTATTTTAGGGGCATGAACTGGCCTTTAGGAGCCCATTTCCTATAGTGGGAAACCTTGCTCAGCTTCCTATGGTGGGAAACCTTGCTCAGCCTTGATACAGGGGGGAGGGAGTTGGTCCTGCCTCACCTGGACATGCTTTGTTAACTCCCCAGGGAGGCCTTACCCACTCTGGAGAGTGGAGGGGGATTGGGAAGGGTGGGAGGCAGGGAAGGGACAGAAGGGGGGGAAAGGCTGAACTGGGGTTAGTATGGAAAATGAAAAATAATTTTTTAAATCTCTAAAAGAAACCCGTTAGCATCATTTGTTGGGGGTTTTGTGAGGTAGTATTGGTGTTTTCCCATCTACAGCAGCAAACCTTGAAACATTCTGTGTTACTAAGAATAAGCAAGGATGAACAGAGCTCTAAACTGGAGGTAGCCCCCTTACCTTAAAGGCCATGGGTACTTCAATGATATAAAGGTCCACGTAATCTAGCTTGAGGGTCTGCAGGGTCCTTTCCAGGGCTGGGCGGACCCTCTCTGGGACGTGGTCTGTGGCCCACAGCTGAAAAGAAAGTTGAGGAGGATAGTGAAGGAATATCTACTTCCACACGCTCACAGTAAATCCCGCACACACATGTCACCTGCTGTTTTCATGTCACTGAAGGGTGTTTGCAGCCGACTACGGGTATACACACCACTATAACAATCCTGTCACCCCAGGGCAACCCTGCTGATTCTTGCTAAGGTTCCACTCCATACCCCAAGTGTTAGATGATGGAAGAGTAAGGTCTGCCAATGCAGACAAGCACGGAGTGGTTATCAGTTAAATTAGTAGCATCTTACAGCATTCATTTTGTTTCTCGGCTTTTTGGTAGGAGGGTCTGGGAGAGGGTTGACTTTTTAAACCCTATTTATTACAGGAAATAAAACTGGAAAGTTTTATTTAAGACTTATTTATTAAGTCCCCAGTTTATTCTTGTCTTGGAAGCACAGAATAAAAGAAGAAAAAGAAAGAAATAAAAACCAGACATAACGGCACACACCTGTAATATTAGCTACATGGGAGGCTGTGGCAAGAGGGTAGGAAGTTCAAGGCCTACCTGGAATAGAGTGAGTTCTAGGCCAGATTAAGCAACTTGGCAAGGCTTTGTCTCAGGCTAAAGTTTAAAGAATCAATTTGTGGTGGTGGTGGGGAGGCATTTAGGGGAATGGGCTGGTGAGGTAGTCCAGTTAGTACAGGGCTTGGCATACAAGAATGAGGACCTGAATTCAATTCCCTGGCCCCAGGTAAATAAACGCCAGTCTTGGTAGCATGTTCACAAAAGCTATACACAATCACAGCATTGGAGAGGCATCGATAAGTAGATCCCTGTGGCTTGCTGGCAGCCAGCCTAACCTAATCAGTGGTCTTCAGGTCTCAAAAAACAAGATGGGTGGCTACCGAGGAATGACAGCCAGTGTTGGCTTCTGGCCTATACACACACACACACACACACACACACACACACACACACACACCACACACACCACACACACACACCACACACACACACCACACACACACCACACATACACCACACCACACACACACCACACACACACCACACATACACCACACCACACACACACCACACACACACCACACACACACACCACACACACACACCACACACACACCACACATACACCACACCACACACACACCACACACCACACACACACACACACACCACACATACACACACACTCACACTCACACACACACTCACACACACCTGCACAGACTTACATACACATATACACATACCATTTTAAAAGGCTGGGAATGTAACTTAGTGAGTCAGTGTCTGCCTTGCATGCACAAGGCCCTGGGTTCAAACCCTAGTGATGGTTGGAAGGGAGCATAGAACAGCAGAAAGGAAATGGAGAGTGAGAATCATAGAAAAATTCTATCTCCCACTTAATTCACTATTCCTTTTCTTTCTTTAATGTTGGGGATTGCGCCCAGGGCGCAATATACTGAGTTCACACAGGTGGTAACTTTGACTCAGTTACACGTGGCCTTTGTGTTTACTTGTGGTCCTGTTTTACGATGTGTGCTGTAATATGCTTAACTGATGTGCACGAATACACAGGTATATTGTTTTCAGCAAATTAAAGGGCTTCAGCGGATAATTTGTCCACTTCCTCCTCCCTCCCCCTTCTTTCCCCCCTCTCCTCCTTTCCTTTATTGTGTGCCGGTGTTTGAGGTCACATCTGGGTCCTGGGCATGCTAGTCGAGGGCTGTCCTACTGAGCTTTACCCCACCCCCTTATGCCACGCTCGCTGTATCTACATAGTAAGAAATGACTCACCTTTCCACAGTAGAAAATCTCTTCCCTCTTTACTGTGCCTTCTGCTATCTTCTCTCTGATGGCCTCACCCACTTCATGTTCGTTGTGGTAGAGATAGGCCCCATCAATGTGCCGGTACCCCTGGTCAATGGCCATTTTCACTGCCTTATAGGTCTCCCTGGGAACCTTATGTGATAAAGAAAAAGAGAGAGGGTGAGTGTGGGGAGAAGAGAAACGAGTTTTAAGTTCGTGTTAAAAAGGACACCCCATGATATATTGTGTTATAGTCCGTACAACAGTTCCCAATTCCACGCTGCCATGATTGGAGGATCATGGAGATAAGAGAAACTAGAGACAACTTCCTTCAGCACTCCATCGATCCACCCCAGGTAGTCAGCCCTTGGCACTGTAACTTTAGAAATGTGATTTGATCGCTATTGCTAAAAGAGTGTGCAGAATCTAAGGTCTGGACATAAAACGACTCAGCCCTGGGACTCGGCAGCCTAATCTGGGGCAATGTGTTCAATCTCTTTATGCTGTTTTACTATTGGTCAGAGGGCTTAACTGGCATTATTTTGTAACAAGAGGATTACATTAGAAAATGCATGGTGTACAAAAAAAAAAAAATGTTCAGAGTTCCTGGCACACAGTTAAGTGTCTGGAACACTTTAGCTATTATTTTTTTTAAACTTTATTTGTGTCTCCATGCCCTATGATGTGCACATCCCTTTCACAAACTTTCCCATTAGATTAATATGTGCCATTTGATTATGTACCATATACTAGACATTATCATGAGACTCTAGAGTTGAACAAGCAGTGATCTTTTCTCGTGGGCGTCTCGGGCCAGTGAGGAAGACTGTGATGAGTGGAAAACGGGGCTGTGTGTGGACACGTGTGAGTAGGGGTGTGGTGAGAGGGAAGAGGTATCCTTTGATCTCCTTTGGGTTGAGCCTTAAAAATGTTGTAGAGGGGGCTGGGAGATGGCTCAGCTGGTAAACAGCAGGTAGAGAAACCAGACTGTGTTCAAAGGTATTGAGATGGGAGAGTTACTGTGAAATCAGATCATAGTCTTGTCTTGTTTGGGGTTTGTATGTGTGCAAATGTGGTGTGTGTGTGTGTGTGTGTGTGTAACATATGTACATTTATACATACTTTGTGTGTGTGAGTACACTCATCTGTGGATGTGGATCAATATGAGGTATATTCTATGGTGCAATTGTAGAAGACAGAGGACAACCCGTAGGAGTCAGCTCTCTCCTTCTACCATGTTGGTCTCAGAGTTTTAATTCAGATTATCAGGCTTGACAGCAAGTCCCTTTACCTACTGAGCCAAATTTACCAGCCCCAAAGTCTTCTATTGTTTTTATACATTTGTTTTGTTTTGTTTGGAGACAAGGTCTCTCACTGAATCTGGAGTCCTAGGTTTTGCCTAGACTAGCTTGACCATGAGGTTCTGGGAATCTGCCTGTCCTGCTCCAACCACACTGGGGTTAGAGGCACATACCACAATGCCAGGCTTTTTATGTGGGTGCAGGTGTCTGAAATCAGTTCCTCACATTTGTGAAGTAGACATTTTACCCACTTGATCATCTCCTCAGCCCTAGGCCTTGGTCATCTCCTCAGCCCTAGATCATGATTTGGATAACAGCTGGTGGGCTGGACTGACAAGTCCGCTAACTTATAAATGTTTGGAGTGCAGGGTAAGTTGTAACTGATAGGGAATGGAAGGGTGACGTGACCACACATGGGCTTCAGAAGGACCCTGATGTTGCTTCTCTGACAATCTCACTTTGTGTCTGCTTCCCAGGCATCATGAAGTTTGGCTCCATCGTGCTTTGAGAGTCTGCATTACCGCTCAGGTAAGCAATGATGGCCCCAAACTTCAAGGGGGTAAGAATTATTCTATGCAGACCTGTTTCTGTGTGGTGTCTGTGTGGAGAAGTCCTTTCTGTGTTTTCAGACATTGGGCACAGTTATGGTACCAGATGCTACCTTCACCGCTTCTACAGTCGGTAAGGAGCCTATGTTTTCCCTTAGAGCTTAAGTATCTACAAAGCAAGACAATTCTTTTCATATTGGAAGTGTCTATAGATTCATGCTTATAGGTGAGCCTAGCCTGCAGCCTGAAGGCCACATCTGGACAACGGTATCTATGAATGCATCTCTACATAAATTCACAAACTTAGTTAAAATGTTGTGACTTTTAAAGCATTAATTCTGTTAATGACGACACCATGTCACAATTCAAAAAGCTTGGAAATGCCTGTGTGTCAGGTATTCATTAAATGTTTGGTAGACCAAACTAAGAATTCTTGAATAAAAATTAAAAGCAATTTATAAATTATAAACTCACAAGTCCCATGTCCTTCACTTCATTCTAGTTGTTAGCCTTCAGCTGACTTCCAAGGATAAAGAAAAACAAATTAATTTCTGTATTGGAAAATGTTAAAAATGTTAAACCATGAACTGATAGAATTCAACCTGTGGTTTAAAATCCAATTCAGGTAAATAGTAGTCATTGGATATTGCTTTTACTATTGTGCGTGCGCGTGCACACACACACACACACACACACACACACACACACACGCATGCACACACACACCACACGTCTGTATGTACATACCGGTTTGGGATCTGAGTAGGTACCAAGCCCGATGACAGGAATGCTGTTTCCATCACTAAGAGGTATTCGATGGTTTGTAGCACTGAGTTTCATTGTGGAGAAGGGAGCTGAGGCTTCAAGTTTCTGGTAGTGATTCTGAACAGGACAGAAACAGATTATTTGAAAACAGATCCTAGAGTCTGTTGCAGAAAAGAACTGAGCACTAGGAGGAGGAGCTTGGCAGGGAAAGAAGACAAATAGATTTCTCAATATTGCTCCCCTCCCCCAAGTTTTCTCTGCAGATTCGAAGCACAGTTGTTTCTTTGAACTTCATCAGAGGCTTGAAATAGTAAACCTGTTGATGGGTTATGCTTAGTGTTCTGAAAAGAAAATGTACCTGGCTTCTGTCAGGAGGATTTATTGGCGAATAACAGATCTGTCTTAAACTTGCTCAAATTATAAAGAAATTAGCTTATATTTGATGTGAGGTGGCAAGGCTAGTTCTCTAGTCTCTAGTGCTAAGGATACTAACTCCTCCCATCATGAAATTGTAGCCATCATGCTGCCATTGAATCTGATTACCTTCCCAAACACCATCTTCAAATATAGTAGTTCATTTATTGAGAGATATTATCCCAAAGCTCAAAATAAATGCCTGAAAATGCACATACTGGGTATTATTTCCTGTACACACACGTCACACATTTTTTGTAGTAAAGCTTTTCTTTCTTTTTGTTTCTACATACTAATCCCAGTTCCCTTTCTCTCCCCTCCTCCTGTTCCCCAACCAACCCTTTATCCTACCCGCATGCATTTTGCTCCTTAGAGAGGGTGAGGCTTCTCATGGGAGTTGACAAAGTGACAAAGTCTGTCCCATCACCACACTGAGGCAGGACCAAGGCCCTGCCCTGTGTCTAGGCTGAGAAAGGTATCTCTCCATAGGAAACGGGCTCTAAAAAGCCAGTTCATGCATTAGGGATAGATTCTGGTTCCACTGCCAGTGGCCCCCAAAACCGCCCACTGTCACCTACATTCAGGGAGTCTAGTTGGGTCCTATGTAGTTTTCCCAGTTGTCAGTCCAAGTCAGTAAGCTGTCACTAGCTCGGGTGGGTGTTTACGTGGGTTTGCCCATCCTGGTCTTGACCCCATCGTTTGTATTACCCCTCCTTCCTCTCTTCAGCTGAACTCCAGGAGCTCAGCCCAGTGGGTGGTGGCAAATCTCTGCACATACTTCCATCAGTTACTGGATGGGGTTGTGGACTGTAGACTGTAGTTTATCCTTTGCTTTATGCCTAATATCCACTTATGAGTGAGTATATGCTATGTGTGTCTTTCTGGGTCTGGGTTACCTCATTCAGGATGGTTTTTTTTTCCCCCAATTTGGTTCATTTGCCTGCAAATCTCAAGGTATTTTTTTTTAAACCACCGAGTAGTACTACATTGTGTATATGTATCACATTTTCCTTATCCATTTTTTAGTTGAGGGGCATCTAGGTTGTTTCCAGGTTCTGGCTATCACAAATAATGCTACTATGAACAAGTGTCCTTGCGGTGTGAGTGTGCATCCTTTGGGTATATGCCAAAAGGTGGTATTTTGCTGGGACTTGAGGTAGGTTAGCTCCCAATTTTCTGAGAAACTGTTGTCCTGATTTCCGAAATGACTGCTCAAGTTTGCACTTCCACCAGCAATGGAGGAGTGTTCCCCTTACTCCACATCCACTCCAACATAAGCTGTGATCAGAATTTGTGATCTTGGGCATTCTGACAGGAATGAGATGGTATCTCGGAGTTGTTTTGATTTGTATTTTCCTGATTGCTAAGGATATTGAGCAATTCCTTAAACATCTTTCAGTCATTTGACTTTCTTCTGTTGAAAATTCTGTTAAGATCTCTATCCCATTTTTAATTTGATTATTTGGTGTTTTGATGTTTCATGAGTTCTTTGTGTATTTTGAGATCAGCCCTCTGTCAGATGTGGGGTTGGTAAAGATATTTTCCCATTCTGTGGTCTGCCGTTTTGTCTTGACAGTCTTTTGCCTTACAGAAGCTTCTCAGTTTCAGGAGGTCCCATTTATTAGTTGTTGCTCTCAGTGTCTGTGCTACTGGTGTATATTTAGGAAGAGGTCTCCTGCACCAATGAATTCAAGGCTACTTCTCCCTTTCTCTTCCATGAGATTCAGTGTGGTTGAATTTATGTTGAGGTCTTTGATTCATTTGGACTTGAGTTTTGTGCATGGTGATAGTTATGGATCTATCTGCAGCCTTCTACATGTCAACCTCCAGTTATGCCAGTTCCATTTACTGAAAATGCTTTCTTTTTTCCATTGTACAATTTTAGTTTCTTTGTCAAATAACAGGTGTTTATAGGTGTGTAGGTTGATATCAGTGTCTTCAATAGACCCCCATTGGTCCACCTGTCTGTTTTTATGCCAATATCAAGCTGTTTTCATTACTGTAGCTCTATAGTAGAGCTTGAAGTCAGGAATGGTGATGCCTACAGAAGTTTCTTTATTGTACAGGATTGTTTTGGCTATCCTGGATTTTTTGTTTTTCCACATGAAGTTGAGTATTGCTTTTTTAAGGTCTGTGAAGAATTGTGCTGGGATTTTGATGGGGGTTGCATTGAATCTGTAGCTTGCTTTTGGTAAGATTGCCATTTTTACTATGTTAATTCTACCTTTCTAAGAGTATGGGAGATCTTTCCATTTTTTGATATCCTCTTCAATTTAGTTCATTAAAGACTTACCATTCTTGCCATACAGGTCATTCATTTGTTTGGTTAGAGTTAGCTCAAGATATTTTATGTTGTTTGTGGCTATTGTGAAGGGTGATATTTCTCTGATTTCTTTTTCTGCCCATTTATCATTTGTATATAGGAGGGCTATGGATGTTTTTGAGTTAATCTTGTATTCTGTCACATTGCTGAAGTTGTATATCAGATGTAGAAGTTTCCTGGTAGATTGGCGGGGGGTGGGGGGGGAACTTATGCATGTTATCATATCATCAGCAAATAACAAAAGTTTGACGTCGTCCTTTCCAATTTGTATCCCCTTGATCTCCTTTTGTTGCCTTATTACTTTAGATAGAACTTCAAGTACTATATTGAATAGATATGGAGAGAGTAGACAGCCTTGCCTTGTTCCTGATTTCAGTGGGATCACTTTGAGTTTCTCTCTATTTAGTTTGATGTTGGCTGTTGGGTTATTGTATATTGCCTTCATTAAGTTTAGGTATGTTCCTTGTATTCTCTGCTTTCTCCAAAATCTTTATCATGAAAGGATATTGGATTTTTGTCAAAGGCTTTTCAGCATCTAATGAGATGATCATTTGGTTTTTTTAATTTCAGTTTGTTTATATGGGGGATTACAATGACAGATTTTTATAGGTTGACTCATCCCCCCATCTCTGGGATGAAGCCTACTAGGCCACGGTGAACAATTTTCTGATGTGTTCTTGGATTTGGTTTGCTGGTATTTTAGAGTATTTTTGCATCAATGTCCATGAAGGAGATTGATTTGTAATTATCTATCTTTGTTGTGTCCTTGTGTGGTTTGAGTATCAGGCTGTTTCTATTGTTTGGAACACTTCGAGGAGTATTGGTATTAGCTCTTCTTTGAACTTCACTGAAACCATCTGGCCCTGGGCTTTTTTTTTTTTTAAAATTGGGAGACTTTTGATAGCTGTTTTTATTTCCTTAGGGGTTATAGGTCTATTTAAATTGTTTATCTGGCCTTGATTTAATTTTGGTATGTGGTACTTATTCAGAAATTGTCCATTTCCTTTAAGTTTTCCAATTTGTGGAGTACAGGTTTTTGAATTATGCCCCCATGATTCTCTGGCTTTCCTCAGTGTCTGTTGTTATGTATCCCTTTTCATTTCTGATTTTGTTAATTTGGATATTCTCTCTGTGTCTTTTGGTTAGCTTGGATAAAGGTTTGTTTGTCTTGTTGATTTTCTTGAAGAACAAACTCTTCATCTCATTGATTCTTTGTATTGCTTTCTTTGTCTCTATTTTATTGGTTTCAGCTCTCAATTTAATTATTTCTAGCCACCTACTCCTCTTGGGTAAGAGTAGGGTGTTGACATTTCCCACTATTAGTGTGTGGGACTTGATGTGTGATTTAAACTTTAGTAATGCTTCTTTTACAAATGAGGGTGCCCTTGTATCTAGGCATAGATATTCAGAATTGAGACTTCATCTTGATTGATTTTTCCTGTGACCAGTATGAAATGTCCTTCTTCATCTCTTTTGATTGCTTTTAGTTTGAAGTCTATTTTGTTAGATCTTAGAATAGCTTGGTTTTGTTTGTTTGTTTGTTTGTTTTCTGAGACAGGGTTTCTCTTTGGCTGTGGGGGCTGTCCTGGAACTAGCTGGTCGAGAACCAGGCTGGTATCAAACTCACAGATCTATCTGCATGTGTCTCCCGAGTGCTGGGTTTAAAGGTGTGTGCCACCACTGCCCAGCTACCAGCTTGTTTCTTAGGTCCATTTGATTGGAAAATCTTTCCCAACCCTTTACTCTGAGGTAATGTCTGTCTTTGAAATTGAAGTGTGTTTTTTATGCAGCAGAACAATGGGTTCTGTCTTTATATCTATTCTGTTAGCCTGTGTCTTTTTATAGGCAAATTGAGTCCATTGATATTAAGGGATATTAATGATCAGTGATTGCTAGTCCCTATTATGTTTGTTTTTGTTGTTGTTGTTGCTATTTTGTGTGAGTTTCTCTTCTTAGGGATTTACTGGTGTGGGGTTATCTACACAGGGGGTTACCTGTGTTTTTGTGGGTGTAGCTAACTTCCTTGGGTTGGAGTTTTCCTTCTAGTACTTTCTGTAGGGCTGAATTTGTGAATAGGTATTGTTTAAATCTGATTTTGTTATGGAATATCTTGTTTTTTCCGTCTCTGAAAGCTTTGCTGAGTATAGTAGTCTGGGCTGGAATTTGTGGTCTCTTGGTGTCCATATAACACCTTCTAGGACCTTCTGGCTTTCATTGTTTCCATTGAGAAGCTGGGTGTAATTCTGATAGGTCTGCTTTATATGTTAATTGGCCTTTTTCCTTTGCAGCTCTTAATACTTTTTCTTTATTCTGTATGCTTAGTGTGTTGATGATTATGTAGCAAGGGAACTTTTCCTTTGGTCAAGTCTATTTGGTGTTC